AATGTCAAATGCCTCTTTTGTCGCATCACTAGTATATCTCAAAGGACACGACAGGGTTCTTGTAAATTTTAAACGTTTCTCACCATAGCTGTAAAAATCTAAATATGTTAAACTTAATAGTCATTTGTTTTCTAACTAATACGTTTTAGGACCAGGTGTCCACGGAAATTTTCAAAATTTACAACTTTTCGGTCACTCTCGTTGAACTGGAAAAAATTTCTGTTTATATTACGTCTAATATTACGAAGAAATCGGTCCCCGCTGTACTCGGCTAGAAATTGGGTCGGTTAAGCTTTTAAGTAATATTCCGGCTCTTTCATCAGGGTTTATTTATGTCCCCAGTTCCCTAATCTCTTAATTATTTAACTATTTCTTAAGTAGAAATAAGTCGAACCGGTTACTTTCTACTTGAATATTTGTAGTCTTGGGAAAAAAGTGGAAAGACAAATTTTTATAACAACTGATACATAAATCGTAAATTTAAGGAAAATAAATTCTAGAGCTTTTTCTGTACTTCGTGCATCTCTCTCAATTTAGTTGTAAATAATGCTACCAAAGTAACAGTTAATTTTTTAACATTTTACAAGAATTGTACACGTTTTTCTACATTCCCTTATAGATGAAACATACTAAATCGTAATATCACCGGTTTAACATTAAAATCCGTAAGTAATATAATATGGGAAAACGGAATAAAAATATCAAATATTTTAATGAATTTTTTTAAAACTTCTGTCAACTATACAGAACTATCATAAAATATACCAGTAAATTCTTATCAATTGGGTTAAGTTATAAATCTACTCGTGATTCACGTAAGCGGGCGAGGGCGGCCAAATATCTAGCAGGCGGGCGGCTAACAGCCCATAACCGGTCCCGGATAGAATTGGATGTGGTATACCGTATACGTGTAGCATCCACCCAAGTCCTAGACTTCCACCAGCTAAACCGAATGAGGTTGGTGCTCTGTAAAGCGCATGCGCGAATCTGGCTTTTTTTTTAATGTTCACGACACAGCGCTTCCACTCCGCCACTAATATTCGAATATACAATAGCAATCTTATTTTTTTTTTCACGTGTAGTATAGAAATTTGTAATAAGATACATAATGCGGTTATAATAAAATATTGCGCGATTATTTTCATATAATTAAAATTAATATGTATTTATTTTTAGAAAAAACAAGGGAAGCGGCGCTTCCAATGACGGCTCGCCACTGTTTATATATTTTAACAGCTGTTGTTACTTAACACGGGCAATTTGCCATGTATAATGCGCATCCACGTTTTTGGCCCAAATTTCAGGAAAAATCTTTCGTTTTTATTTTTAAATTCAAATTTATAAGAATACCCAACTAACGTACTTACTTATGTAAAGTTCTTGATCAATAGCAAGCAAGGAAGGAATTAATGTTGATGAATATCCATAATTTTTCCTCTTTTTTTGAATTGGATGCACCCACGAACGTCTCTTCGCTGTTTTTCTTTATTAATTTCCGTTTTATCTTGCTAATACATCTACTTTTCATTTCGTTGAATCGTTGACCGAAATTGCTTTCGTGTAAGTTCAACAAAACCGATAATCGTATTCCTGGATATTTGCATACGGATATCGTTATTGATTTATAACTCATAAGCTTAAATAAAATAATTAAAAAACAGTATATAGATAAGGAATCGATACTACCACGTATAATGCCCATCCTTATTTTCCCTGAAATTGAGCAAAAGATGCGCATTAACACCGCAAAATACGATATAACAGTTATGAAATTTAACACATTTTTTGAACTTTTTACTCTATAAATATAAATTTTGTTTGAATAAAATAAACTTGAAATGTCTTCAAATAAAAAGCACTTCAGGCATGAGTTTTGTAAAGGATATAACGCCGTACAAACAAACAAAAAAAAAATTTAATGTGTATAGGAAAAATGCTCCTAAACTTCGAACATGTAAAATGTGGTTTAAAAAGTTAAGTTCAAAATTTCCTGAACGGAAGGATGCAAAACATAAGGAGCATCCAAAAGCTGTTGACTAAGAAAAATTGCATTAAGAAATTGTTAAAATCGACAAATAACACAAAATATACATATCCAAACACATCAAAATTAAATTAAAGCACTGAAAACACGAGCGAAACGCCAGAGCGAGAGACGATTTGGATGTGAAACAGACTTCTTTTATGCGTTGAGCACATTTTTTCACACTAGTAGTTCGAACATAGTTCAAACTTTCAAGCGAACTTTTGTCAAATTTAGCGTTTGAAATGTGATGTACCACTATTCTAAAGCGGAGCGGACACTGTACGATTTTGCTGGACGGTTGCTTGCCAGACAGAGTAACGTTCGCTCTCCACAAACTATCAGTCTCGTGATGATGGATATCACTACTCGCTACTTATAAATTGGCGCTAGTATTTTTTCCCCAATGCCTTTTTTCCGTTTTCTTTTTAACTTTTACAGATTAGGCTACAATATAATGTAATTATTCATGCCACACAATCTGTGCTCACCGGGTCTCCCAGTGCGATAGAATGAAACCTTAACTGCATCGGCTATTCGTCTTTAGAAGGGAGATTTTCTTTCACTCATCACTATTTTCAAGTTGATGTTTTTGGAAACTTCGGAATTTGTTACTCATATTATTATTAAAAGACAAAAGTTAATTTTAGAAGTAGGAACGAGTTTTTAAAAATTGTAAACGCCATTAACAAATAAACATTTCATTAAGTCTAATCTCCCATTCGAGATATGATATTCGTCCTTTCTCTATTGACATTTAACTAAAGTAACCAGATGTTCCGTATTCTATGGGATCATTCCATGGTTTAGTTTAATCTTCCGTCCTGCTGTCCTGACGTTTTTTTTTTTTGTTGTGACACCGTTATCCCCTGTATTCTTGGATTTCCCGGAAAAATATTCTGTATTTCGAAGCATCCCGGGGTATTCTCACGTATTTCTAAAAAAAAAAAAAAAACAATTGAAATTCGAATCTAATTAAACAAATGCCATTCATTATAGATATAGAGGTAAGGTCGTATATAAAGTTGTTGGCATCTTATTCTTCTGTATCCCGATTACATTGCACACCTTGCAATATAATCGGACAAACAAAAGATAAAAAAACAACGTATCGGTACCGTGAATTGCTAAATATGGTGTTTACCAGGATAAACAACAATTGATAATATCACAAAATATATACAGTTGCACGGAATTTTACGAATTTCTGCAAAAAGAGAAACCACTGCTGCGCAAGATATATTCCTCCAAAAAGTACGCAGCCTGGGTTATTGAAAATACTACTAACGTGTGTGTAAAGTAAATTAATAAAAATAATTGTATGGTTTTTAAAATTTGCTGTTTAGCATTAAATTATGGACTTCCTATTTTTATGACATACAGTATACAAGTGATCGGGCGCAAACGCCAGAACAGAAGGGAAAGGACGTTTGGTATCCCGTATTAGCTGAACCAAAATCTGGTTACATTACTTTAACCACTATTTAACCCTATCCCCTTGACCTTTAACCACCAAAATTTATCAGCATCAGTGCCTCCACATACAGAAATAACTTTTCCAAATTTCAAAAGTTTATTCCTGAGATATAATGTAAAATAGACGCCGACATACACAGAATTTTATAAAGTTTTTTTTCGCATTTTTGAGTTCATGAGTGTCACAACGTCGAGAAATTAAAACAACAACAGCCAGGAAAGTAAAAAGTTGACTTAATTATTTTTGTCTCTGATTATCAATCATTCAATGTTTACAGATATTAATTAATTTTCGAGTTTTTTCTATAATGTAATCACTACACGAAAAAAAANTATAGCATAGATAAATAAATAAGCATTTATGTAATGAGAAAGAAGAAACCGCGTTAGAAAATATTGTATATTGAAGTACTGAGTGAATCATTTCACTCTCTGAAAACCTCATTATTAAAATTAATTCGATTAACTATTAACATTTTATTTAGCACAATGAAAATATTTATCTGAAACATCAATTTGTATTATCACCTTTCAGGGATAAACAGTATTTATTTATTTTATTTTCATATTTTTCCCCAGCACATTACACGTTTTATGTTTCGTATTCTTACAAGTTTTGTTTCTCATTATATGTATATTAAAATATGTTACGATACGTCTAAAATTTATATATAAAACATTATCCCAAAAACAGATGGAAAAATACTTAATAATATCATGATATTCATTAAGAAAATGACTGCTATATTTAGTAATTAAGCAATTTGCAATAAAAATTTCATTTATTTAAACCCGATGAAAAAAAGCGATGTTATATAAACTAAACTATAAAATTTATAGTTTAGTTTATATGACAGTAATCAGGGCTAGTGTGTATAATAATAAATAAACAGGGCCTCGATCTTTCCAGAAGTTTAGTCATCTGATATTATCATTACTAAGTGTTAAGAAAAATTCTCGAATTTAACAGGAAAGCAAGAAAAACTTTAGAGTAACTTGTAAAAAAAATTGACTAGCAATGAAAAATATATTATTATTATTCAATTAGATTTAAAAAGACCGCAAAATTCGGGAAATAAAATTGTATATTCTAACAGAACATAGAATATTTCGGCTGATCTGGATTTCTGTTCTACTTTATATAATATTTTCGTGAGTCAATGCCTTTCTTTTTAATTAACTTTTGAAAACTGATTTTGAAATTGTATGAAAATGAGTGGTGTGCCACAAATGTATCTGTTTGGGCTGATACTAGAATTGTTCAATTGGACACAGATGAGGAACATTTGCAACATTGTTCTCTTTGCTGACGTAACGGACTTCATATATAAGATTTTGATTGCATAAAATAATAAGCATGATTTTTACAGATGAATTTTCTGATTTGCACAATAAAAATTAAAATAAATAATAAAGAGCTGGCTATATATTTATGCGGTTAATGTTTTATTACAATAACTATCAGAACAACTTACTTAACACTTACAAGACAATTCAATTCTTACAAAATTCTACAGAAGAAAGCTATTTGTCATTGATATAAATTCCTAGCAAATAGCAAATTTATAAATTAGTTTCCTTACTTCTCTAGACGATTTTTAATTCTTAAATTACATATAACGCTTTCGTAATTCTAACTTAAATATTTCAAAATTTGCAACAGATATATGAATTGAAATTTATTCATTAATTCAATCTAGAAAATTTTGAAATTCGATAACATCTACTGCATAGATTTCAATGGAAAGGAACAATATTGGTCTTTTTTATATCATTATGAAATATTAAATAGTAACAACAATTTGTTTTTGTGCAAACTGTACATATATATGAAGAATATTATAATGGAGGGAAATAAATTTTTTGATCTATAAAATGTAAATGTAGTCTACGACGACATTTACGAAAAAACTTAAATAAACAAAGCTCAAAATTATTAATTTGTTTGAAGCTTTGTTGACGCTTATCACAAATCTTCCTTCTATCCTTATCGCATCATTAATTAGAAGTTTTGAAGTTTATATAAAGTGATGAAAGTAAAATATTTTATTTATTTTTTAATAATTAAATAGTTTCGACGTATAATAACAATATATTTAATATATATTCTTTTATAAATATAGATAAATTTTAGTTCATAAATTAATTTTGAGATGATTAGAATATTTTTCTAACAAACAATTCTTAACAATAACGCATTAAATGCTATATCCAACAACGTGTTCAACTATAAAATTTTCATTCCGTGAAAACTTCTTCTTTACTCTCTTATATTTCACGATCGTGAGTAGAAATATAATTCAAACTCTGGTATATGAGATGTTCGTTAACTGCAATTTCACAAGTATTGTGACTAGTTCAGTTTTATATATATACAGAATACTGTTAGTTTTTAAATTATACATCAAAATGATTAACGTCGATTGTAGTTATCATCCCCATAATTGGCATTTTTTGTGTGGATTCATAGGGCTTCCTAGTGGACAATGAAATGCACTCGCAAAATCATAAGAATTTGAAAGAGGACCATTGGCTCTGAAATAATAATTATATTATAAATATAAATAATAATATAATGATCCTAGCCTTATAAAGTCATATCGAGTTAAATTAAACTGTATCAAAATATGAATAAAACAAACCATTTTAATTTAAATGTACTTTATCTAATCTACAACTTTCATAAAATCATTACATTTTTCAATAAAAGAATGTCTCCTCTCGGATGAAACAATTTTAATTCGATCATTCAATAACTATTTATTGCTTATAATTACTACTTATAAAAATTAAACCAAAATGCCTTCATAATATGAAACTTTTATAAATAATATATATTTAACAGTTACCTATATTTTCCAGGACTATGAGTATCTTTAATATATTTTTCATTTCCTTCTTTGCTGGTAACTTCGCACCATAACTATATTTTGAAAAATATTATCTTTATAAATAATGCAATAGAATAAATGGATTTTAAATTTATTAGTTAAAACATAAAACAGAATATAAAGATAGATAAATTGAATTTATTTATATTTTAATTACAGATATACTTAATTCGAAAAACATCAAAAACTTTTAATTACATATTTTACCTGAGCATATTGAAGAAAAAATACTTGAAGATTAGTGAAATTAATACCGGGCAAAGATGGTTCTTCACCATGATCTGCCACGTATTGCTGATAAGCCTAAGAAGAATTGAATCCATGCTTTAGAATATTAACTAACTTTTAGGTAATTCTTCTCATATTAGCGAACAGATGTAAAACAGATAATCATTTTTAAATTAGAAAATTATTATAATGATTTATTTTATAATAGATATCTCGTATGTAAAATGTATTAAAAATTTATTCTATTATACAATAAATTAAGCTAATACTATTTTCTACATTGTATAAATAACTTTTTTATATCAATTTGTTTATTAGAATTTTTCTACTGTATTTATTTATTGGATTTATTTTATAAGCGATTCTGCGGTCGTGAAAATGAAAAATCCTGCCCATTAGTTTCGAGAAATGGATCAAATTGTATTTTAAAATATACGTTTTAAAAGAATGTTACGTAAGATATAATATGACCATTTCAAGAAATTTTTCGTTATTTAATTAGAGATAAAAGACAATAGCAATGATTGATCAATTACAATATGATTATCTTTCGTCCAATCTCCTTTCGTATTTTCAAGAATCGCATTTACCTTTACTAACTTGTAATTTGATTTTTTTTTTAATTGAAGAATTATAAGAGAATGTCTTGATTTTTCCAATAATAGCAGAACCAGGGGAATATAACAATTTATGACATTAAGACAAACTTTTACACTTCTTTAGTTCTATCTTATCAAATTATAGCATAGATAAATAAATAAGCATTTATGTAATGAGAAAGAAGAAACCGCGTTAGAAAATATTGTATATTGAAGTACTGAGTGAATCATTTCACTCTCTGAAAACCTCATTATTAAAATTAATTCGATTAACTATTAACATTTTATTTAGCACAACGAAAATATTTATCTGAAACATCAATTTGTATTATCACCTTTCAGGGATAAACAGTATTTATTTATTTTATTTTCATATTTTTCCCCAGCACATTACACGTTTTATGTTTCGTATTCTTACAAGTTTTGTTTCTCATTATATGTATATTAAAATATGTTACGATACGTCTAAAATTTATATATAAAACATTATCCCAAAAACAGATGGAAAAATACTTAATAATATCATGATATTCATTAAGAAAATGACTGCTATATTTAGTAATTAAGCAATTTGCAATAAAAATTTCATTTATTTAAACCCGATGAAAAAAAGCGATGTTATATAAACTAAACTATAAAATTTATAGTTTAGTTTATATGACAGTAATCAGGGATAGTGTGTATAATAATAAATAAACAGAGCCTCGATCTTTCCAGAAGTTTAGTCATCTGATATTATCATTACTAAGTGTTAAGAAAAATTCTCGAATTTAACAGGAAAGCAAGAAAAACTTTAGAGTAACTTGTAAAAAAAATTGACTAGCAATGAAAAATATATTATTATTATTCAATTAGATTTAAAAAGACCGCAAAATTCGGGAAATAAAATTGTATATTCTAACAGAACATAGAATATTTCGGCTGATCTGGATTTCTGTTCTACTTTATATAATATTTTCGTGAGTCAATGCCTTTCTTTTTAATTAACTTTTGAAAACTGATTTTGAAATTGTATGAAAATGAGTGGTGTGCCACAAATGTATCTGTTTGGGCTGATACTAGAATTGTTCAATTGGACACAGATGAGGAACATTTGCAACATTGTTCTCTTTGCTGACGTAACGGACTTCATATTCCTCTAGTACTGAAGCTATTTGGTGCTTAATGCGCAGTTGCGAGGTCCGGCCAGAAGATATAAGGACCATCCGAGTGGTGTTTCCTGGGAAATAGGAATAGCTTCTCCTTACTACACTCATACTTATTTGTTGGTGTAGAGGCGAGAAGATGCTATGAATGCTTGAAATCTTCCTTTTGAAAGGACTGCTACCTAAATCAACAAACACTTTTTGAGGAAATTTTGCGTGGCATTTAAATTTTATCCGTGGATCAATCTCGATCCTATTCTTAGAATAGTACGTGTTGACCCCAGCACAGTCGTTTCCATCAGAGTAAAATATGATTCATTGTCCATTAACTATGCTCAGTCCATTCAAAACGTTGAAATCGCCCTCGCGCATGTTTTGCAGCAGAGTCCTTTGCAATTTTAGCTTTACTCATTTACTTATTTTTGTATATTTTGGGACTGACTTTCGGTTTCGAAGGACAATTTGCTCAATTAGCATGTTTCCAACATACTGACGAGATAGAAAACTTAGAAGAAAGTTGAAACTTAGTGATTGTCCAACTTTTCCTACCTCCACTCTTTCGCAATCTGTTTTTTCTTTTTTTTAAATCTTTTTCGTCCATTTCCTGGACGCCTATTAAAAGTCTTACCACTTTCCAGCCTTTCTATGATATAAACTCTCCTTTTTTGCCATCTCCATATTCACAAAATGCTTAATTGAGAAGCTTCTCACCCTTTTTTCGTGTTTTCAAAATTTGCCAACTGTAATTTTTCTTTCCTCTTCATTAAACTGCTTCATTTTGTTTACGTTTGAAATACTGTTGCCACCACATGAATTTCAAACTACGGTATCCGAACAACAAATTACGCTACCAAATTCTCAAATATATTTTTATAAAATATACAGAATATGTCTGCCAAAATTGTGCAGATTTTTAGGTTACAGAAAAACTCGAAGTCTCAAAAAAGTCAAATATATTAACACTCCGAAGAAGTTTGACCTTCAACATCTTAGTTTTGTTAGACTCTTTCCGCCCTATGGTCACTAAGATAGCCTTTTCCATCATATCGTGAAATTCGTCCATGTCCATAATGGGGAAATCCGATGGTAGGAACAGAGATCAACTTATTTGGAACAGATTGTCCATAAAAAATTCTTTGAGTTGCTCGCTTGAATTTACTCCCGAGTTCCTTGAGCGAAAGGCTGAAGCCTTAACTTACCATATAGCCAATATGTAGTAGTATAGTCATCGTATCGTGATAAAAGTCACAAAATAAATACCATTAAATACTGTGTGCGATTTTCTGGAATAAATTTTGTTTTATTTACTGAATAAAGATAAAATATAAATATTAAATTTGATTTAACGTTTATTTTATATAAATAGAAACTAATTTTATTTGTTCAAAATATAGAAATTATTCTTCGCCAGAAGAATAATCGTCTATATTTTAATTAAATACATTTAATAAGAGTTTTAAAATGAACAGGTCATTACGATATATTTTATAGACCATCGATATGCGTAATACATACCTTAAATGCTTGCTGTAAACCTCCATTATCACAAATATTATCGTCTAAAGTCTGATTGCCATTTACCTAAAATTATAAAAATCCTTGATATTAAAATAAAATCTGAATACATATTTAAAAATAATATTTTTTATATTGCAATTATATATTATATTTTATTTTTTCGTCATAATTGTAATAAATATAACTTTATAGTTTTGTATGCTAATTAAATGAAAATTTATACAATATGTAAGCCTAAAGTACTGCATTAAAAGTATAATATATTTAAACTTTAACTTCGCAAAGCTTTACAAAAAAAAAATCAAGTATTTTTTTTAAACATATTAAAGATCGTGTACGAAAGTTAATTTTTAGACAAAAATTGTAATTACCGAAAATTAAATAAGCAAATCTGCTTGTATAAGAACTCTTAGCTACTTTACAATCCCCGCACGAATTTCGATTTATTTTAAATTACAGTTTTTACTCTAAACACAATAGCCATTTTTTAAAAATTCAATTACTTTTCAAAGCTTAAAGTAAACAAAAAAGATGATTAATTTCGAAATGAAAGCAAAGGCTAATCACTAAAGCGTGTGACAGAAGATTAAAACGAAAGTTTATTACGTTTTTCATTTAATTTTAATCCACTTCAATAATTTTGATAGATTTCTTTCAGTTCTATAAATATAACAAAAGAAGAAATTAAATAAAATAAATAAATAGAAAAGTTTGTGTTTTTGTTTTTCCAGTTTTTCTGATTTTTGAGTGGAGAGAGCTCAAATAGAAATAATAAAATAGAAAATGAATGATATACTGTATATATATATGATAGAAAAAGTAATATAATATTTAACAAGAAGAAGACAGTTTAGAGGAGAAGGAAAGAAAGTGATAACTATTTACAAATGACTGTGGAGTAATCTGAAAGGATGATAAATTGAAATATAGATAGATATCAATGATAAATGAAATAGTCATAAATATGAATGTATCGATTATTTGCAATGGAAGATAAATTCCTAATGTAACCAGATTACCATTCTAATCTTGTATAGTATATTTTCATATACCATACTGAAAATAATAATCATTATTTTCATTCAATTTTGATTTCTTACATTATTCTGAGAATATTTTANAATTTTTAGACAAAAATTGTAATTACCGAAAATTAAATAAGCAAATCTGCTTGTATAAGAACTCTTAGCTACTTTACAATCCCCGCACGAATTTCGATTTATTTTAAATTACAGTTTTTACTCTAAACACAATAGCCATTTTTTAAAAATTCAATTACTTTTCAAAGCTTAAAGTAAACAAAAAAGATGATTAATTTCGAAATGAAAGCAAAGGCTAATCACTAAAGCGTGTGACAGAAGATTAAAACGAAAGTTTATTACGTTTTTCATTTAATTTTAACCCACTTCAATAATTTTGATAGATTTCTTTCAGTTCTATAAATATAACAAAAGAAGAAATTAAATAAAATAAATAAATAGAAAAGTTTGTGTTTTTGTTTTTCCAGTTTTTCTGATTTTTGAGTGGAGAGAGCTCAAATAGAAATAATAAAATAGAATATGAATGATATACTGTATATATATATGATAGAAAAAGTAATATAATATTTAACAAGAAGAAGACAGTTTAGAGGAGAAGGAAAGAAAGTGATAACTATTTACAAATGACTGTGGAGTAATCTGAAAGGATGATAAATTGAAATATAGATAGATATCAATGATAAATGAAATAGTCATAAATATGAATGTATCGATTATTTGCAATGGAAGATAAATTCCTAATGTAACCAGATTACCATTCTAATCTTGTATAGTATATTTTCATATACCATACTGAAAATAATAATCATTATTTTCATTCAATTTTGATTTCTTACATTATTCTGAGAATATTTTAAATAATTAAAAAGTTAAATATGAACAATATGGAGATAAAAAGTTATTTTATTTAAAATATTTTACGTTAAAAAAATGTTCGTTACAGATTAAAAATTAATAGAAGGATAAATTGACTTTTGAAATATATTTATAATTTTTATAAATGAAAGAGTATTCTTTATTATTTTTTTTACTGTTTTTAAGAGTATTTTCCAATTTTATTCGTATGTAATTTAACTTTTTAGACATTTTTTAATATTACAAAATTTCTAAATATCCCAAATTCGAATCCAGAGAATCGATAAATAACATTAAAACTAAAAGATAATTTAAAAAATAACTTATAATAAATACTAATTATATTGATGATAATTTAAGTCTGAATTAATTATATTAACTTCTCATAAAATTTTTTAATTTTAAAAAGTGACAAACGGTAAAATAATTGAAACTAAAGAACTATTTATAATATAATTTTATCTTAACACGAATTACAAATGTCTGTATTCAAATTTTCTGCAATTTATAATCGTTTTAAATTTTAATTTCCTTTGCTTATCTACGTGAAAAGTATTTCGTATAATCACAAACACAGAGTTCATCAAAACGTTAATAAGTTTGTCTGCAACAATTTACATACCAATGATATTTCAGCAGTCAATGGATGATTACTATTGAAGCGCATTCCCGACAATTATGCATAAATGTTATATGTTATACGACGAAGTTTATATTTTTAAATTTACTCAAAATAAAAAAAATAATTATATATAATAACTGTTGTATGACAACTTTTATGCTAAATCAGTGTATTAATTTATGCTAATGTTTATTAATCCATTTACATTACCAAAACGTAGAAATTTTGATTTTAATTTATTGCTTTAGATTTTTATAAAGTTAAATTACTGATAAATATACACGAATCAGATAGAACTATGCTATAAAAACAATATAAATTATCTAAACAAATTATTGTATAGATTATTGCTTGGATGAGAGACATTTAGAATCAAATTAGAAAACAAGATTTCTGACATAACGACATGGAAAGAGATTTTCTTATCTTTTCTTTCGAATAATCCCTAGAGTTATATAAATAATGTGTCTTAAGAGAAGACGAAAGCTTATTAAATCGAGATTTCATTGCTCCAATTCCTGATAAAAGAGAGGAAATTAACATCGTGATGAAAGTTTTCAATCAATACAAAACTCTGCCATAATTAGAAAAAGAAGCGAAAAGGAAGGAAATTTCATTGTTCAGCCTAAACAGGAAATTTTATCGGTTAGTTATATAAAAATTATCTTCTCATAAAGGAAATGTTATTTTTACATTATTTACCAAGAACGTAGTTTAATAAAGTAAAACTTCAAACAATTTAACTTTTAATAAAATTTAGAATTTAACAAATATACCATGAACATCTGTATTTTAAAAACTACATCTTTTATTGTCACTACATCTAACTTTACTCTAAATGCCACTTACTTCAAAAACTTATACATATAAACTATTAATTTTACTTGAGAATATTTTAAATATAGACATTTTTTAAAATATAATTCTAAGAAGACTATGCAGACAAAACAATGAGTAAAATTTTATCTATAATTCCAAATTAGTTATAAAAAATAAAATTAATATAATTTCTTTTATTTAAAGGACATTATGTTTATATAATAAATATAAAAACATTACTTATTATATTTTGCATGATAATATATTAATTTAAGGATGTAAAAATGTTTGCTTGTTTCAAGTTATTAGTTTAAGTTCTAATGAATAATGAAATTACAAAGAAAACATCTTTCAGCTGTTCTGTTGCTATGTTACAATGATGATAAACTCATTTAGATACAGATGAAGTAATAAAAACATGACTCAAAATTTATTTATTGTTATTCAGTCATAACATAATTAATTTTCCCAATTAAAAGTAATGAAAAAAACTTACATTTTGCCCAACCATATCGATAGTATATTGAGAATACTGTTCGACGAAGCATACAGTTTTCTCTTTGAATTTATCGATCACTTCTTCTGGCCACCACTGAGTGAAATTACCAGCTTTATCAAATTTTCTTCCTAATTCATAAATAAAAATAATTAATTGAGCGAAGAGAATTTATCAAATTATTTATTTAATATCACATTTTGTTGTCAGTAAATCAATTCTAAAGAGGAGATAATTGATTAAACAATATTTTGATTCTTCAATAAATTATATAATGTACTTTAATTTTTATTTTCTAATAAAAATTTAAATTATATGTGAATATGAATATATATTGGATATAAAATTTTAAATGAAGTATTTAAAATTAATTTAAAATCCAAGAATTTAACACATCTGAAAAATATTTCTAAGAATATACCCTGAATTAACGTTGTGAAGTTTGTTTATCTTATCTATTATTCATTATGTTATTCTGGTTTCACTGATTTTAGTTTCATAAATTTTTCGAATCTATGAATCACTTTTTGATGTACAAAAATACATTATTGCTCGTTATTTTTAAGTGAAACAGCGAACAGTAAGTATAATGTAATCTACAAAGCCAATACTTTTCCTTTTACAGCTTTTATTAGTAAATAAAATACTCAATATATGCTTGTACGAATAATACTCGAGTTAATGTTTTATTCAAAACATTGCTTTAAAAAATTACAATAAAAAAAAACATCGTATCGAACGAACTAAAAGAAAAACAAGGAAACAATTAATTTATATTACAAGAAAAACGTATTACGTGAGAATAAAAATAGACTGTTTTTGTGTGCAGAAATTTATTTTAAATTTTAAAATATTTATATATTTGAGAAAATACAACTAATATAAAAACATAAGAATTTATAGGACTGTCAATACAATATTCCAGTTATAAATAATTCGAGTGAGATGATATTTTCAATTTTGAAAGTGAATGTGAAAATAATTTAATTTTAAATTAAATTTTGTTTTAAATTGATGATAGCATTAGGCTGTTTTTTTTTTTACCTCGATGACAATATCTGTAAATTATTATTATGTTTTTAAAATCAAATATTATCGAGTCATAAAAGATATTTTTAATACAAGTGAAGTGATCTGAATAGAATGGAAAAATATTTGTATTTTTATAGGAATTTTTAATTCAAAATTCTAATTCCTCATTATCTAATAGAATTACCACAAGTTTAGATTCTTTACAAAATTTTTCAGTCAGAATTTTATAGGCATTAATTTACGTCCCAGTTTGTCCAGAATAGTCCCGAATTTCGTATGTTTTAACCTTCAAAAATAAAAGAAAATTTTAAATAGAACCAGATTTTCTAATATAATTTAACTATTTTATAAGTCAATATATAAATAATTTTTAAAATATTCCAAATTTACTCAATTTTAGATCCATTTTTCGCTCTCTTACAAACTGTCCGTATTTGGCCGATAAATACGATCGCTCCAGACATTATAAATGTTAAGCGTGAGATACAAACACTCGATAAAACACTTAAATGGACTTTTAAATGCATTAAAAAAGAATTATTTGACAATTTCTTGAAAGGCAATCGTCACATAATTTCTCGTTTTTATTTTATTTTATTCTTTTCATTTCGCTTGAAAGATATTCTCACCATTAATGCTAAATCAGGTTTTAAATCAAGTATAATGGAGCATGCATTATGCATATTGAATACGCTAGTATAAGTGATTTATTAAAGTCTTATTCGATTCTTTTAATATTTTAAAAATATTGCTTTTCTAACTAATGCAATATAAATTAAATTTATGTTGTTATTGTTAAATTTATTGAAACATAATTATTTTCGAGAATACGTAATTAACGAAATTAATATCACATTCTCGAAGTGGAAACAAATATCTTAAATAAATTATTATTAATTTAATGGCACAGTTTCAAAATTTTATTTATTTAAATTTCATTTTTTAGATTAAAAAAATAAACTTATATTTGTTTGATAAATAAGAAAATATTTGATATTTTTACAGAATAGTGAAATATAAAATTTTAATTTTTTTTCGAAAATTTGTAATTATTTGTAATTTTTATTGGAAAATTTTTTATAAAATATAATTAATTTTATATCTAAAAGTATTTGTGAACAATAAATAATTGTTTTCTGCTAATCAAAGTTTAGTTATAAATCACCAACACTTTAATAGTAATTACTCACAAACTTTCGAAAATTTTTGGCAGAGATTATTTTTCTCTAAAACATTTTTTTAATCCGGAGTATTTTTTTAAAATTTTTGCCCAAGGTTAACAATAATTCAAGGTCAAAATTTTTGGACACGGTTAAAGTTTTAATCGTTTTTTCAGTAAAGAAAGCTCTAACCAATCATCAATATGTCGGCGACTTGGTGGAAAATTTGGCTATTACTTTTTTATATTCTATTGTTTTAAAATATAATTGTAAAAATTAATATAATCTAAAAAAACAAATTTAACAGTCGCAAAATTTGTTCAATTGTTAGAAGAATCGTAACTGTTATTTAAAGTAAAATAAAAACTAAAAAGCTATTTTAAAATAAAAAACAATTTTGAATAGAATCAATCGAGTGGGCAAATATTGACAACATTGTAATTAAAAAAATTAACGTGTGGTGTTGCAATGTTACCATGAGCGGATAGAGGACCATTTATTACCACTGTTATCGAATCCGTGTGTAATTTCGTGGCCAACAACAACGCCAAAACTACCGAAATTCAAATACCTACAAATAATAAAAAAAACTGTGTGAGAGCAATGTCTTTAATTTCTAGATAATTGATTTTTTTCGGTTATGAAAAATGATAATTACTTACTTGGGACGGTCTGGAGAAAATATCGGAGGACGTAAGATGCCAACTGGAAATACTAAAAAATCATACTTTTAAAATACTGCCGAATAACAATAATTAATAATTTAAATAATTTAAAAAGTAAAAAAAATTGCAATTATTAAATTAAGAGTTCATTTAAACTAAGTTTTTTTCAATAATTATTATAAATGGCAATATAGTTTATTCATTTCAGAGTATAAGTAGTATTATTTTTAAAGATCATAGGAATTAATTTTCCATATAAAAAAAGAATATAAAAAATAAAATATCAAGGTTAAGATTATAATATAATAGAAAATATTTGGCGTAGTTTATAATTTTTATATTCTAGTTTTAATATTTCATATAAAAACATTTATTCTTATGAAATAATAATATAATCTTTTTTCAGACTTACTGACTGAATTTCCAGTAGGTTCATAAAAAGCATTAACAACAAGAGGTTGGACCAGCCAATCCCTATAGAAAACGAAATAAAAAATTAATTATTAAATGTATATATAACAAATGTGCAAAAATAATTTACCTGTCTTTATCAACAGTTCTTGTCATTTTAAGCAATTCTTTGATAACTTCGTATCTATTCATTCGAAGGATATTATTTAAAAAGTGATCGTCAGAAATATCTAACTAAAATATAGAAATGTGTTAAATATACAGTTATATAAGTTGATATTAAAAAATAATTCTTTAAATACTAATTACTAAAATAACTACAAAAAATTTATGTATAAAATATGAAAAGTTCTCATTTCTCTAATATAAAAGTGTCTAAACTATTTTTAACAACTCGTAATTTCTCATTTTAAGTAAAATTTAGTTTTACAAAATTAATTTTAATTTATTTTTTAAGCAAAAAAGACGAAAAATTAAGAATTTCAAAAAACAAAAAAAGTACTGTATTTCTAAAAATACTTAAGAAGCATGAATTAGTAATAGAAAGTAATCACTTTAAACCTTGTCGTTTTAGTTTTTTATCGATCGTTCTGGCTTTCTCATCTTTCGGAAAATTTTATTACTTTATTATTTTTACAAAATATTTCAATTAATATATGCATAAAATATAGGCCCTACAAGTCTGTAGTTACATTCTTTTAATTATCTAATTACGAATATTTAGTACAAAAATTTCAAATTTTTCAAACATTTTTCAATGTAATAATTAAAATATGTATACTCAATATCTACTCTTAGATTTATATTATTAGTTAATAAAATTTATCACATTATTTATATAAAATGTAGCTTTAAAATGAAATCAGATAAAACATTGCTTTATAATATTATTTTATAATTAATATTTAATAAAAGCAAACACAACTGAAAATAAGAAAATATTTTATATTTATAATAAAATAAAGTAGTAGTAGTAGTAGTAGTAGTTTTAAAAACTACTACTACTATTTTGTGGATACGAAAACAATTTTAATAGAAATTCATGATAGGAAAATAGATTTAACATGTCTTGTACAAGAGTGAAAAATACAGAATAAACTGTACATCAATAGAGTACTGTACTAAGAGTTTAATTTAACATACTATATTGAAGATAACATGAAAAACGAAACTGTAGAAGTCTACTAAAATTAAACAAGTAACAACTTTTATAATTTTTATATAAGTAATGTTTTAAAAAAGAGAAAATTACGGAGACTCATGCAAATTTATAAATTCCTATAACTTCTTATAAGTTTTGCAATAGGCGTACTATAAAGAGAGAAGGTTCAAAACATTTATATTATTATTATACGATATGAAATAAAGAATATTGTAAAATATCTTGAAATTTGTCGCTATTTTTGGATTTATCATTGTCTTTTTCGCTTTTTGAAAATAAGTTTTTCGTTTCTGATATATTTTTATGTTTTCACTTTATGATATGAAAACATTTTCGTGTTCCATTAATTATAATTTAATTGCCGTATGATAAAAGAATTGAAAAGTATTCATTTTAAAACTATTCAGAAAAAAGCTTTTAAATTAATCGATATTCTATAATTACACTTCTAGATTTTTTTCTTCTATTTACAAAATAGAGAGAAAGTTAAGATTTTTTCCTTCTATTTTATAAAGCGACATGAAAGTAAAGTAATTTACCAGGTATACAAACAAAGAAGTGTGGAAATTAATCAAAATTACATTCTTTTCTAATGAACAAAACGTTATTTGACAAAATGTTCGAATTTTTGTGAAATATATTACAATACATAAAAGAAAAACTTGGTTAAAAAATAGACAGCTATCAGAAAAACATGTAATCTATAATATAGAGTTATGAATAAATGTATAGAACACTATATCCACCCTCTCGATCAGAGAGATTCAAACTGAACCTGTTCAAAATTCTTAAAAGTTTCAGAATTTTTTTTGGATTTCAGTCCTTTTATTTCAACTGTCGATCGATCCTATTGTAGTACCGAAGAGCACGTTATTTTATTCCTTTTCAGTATTTTCAGATCAGTAAGGAGTAATACAGACTAGAGACAGATAAGAAACAATTCTTTGTCTAACTTTTAAGTGTATAAAACAGTAGAGTCTGCTATTTCACGTTTGCACGATTACGTAGCAATCTGAGAAAGTAGCATGTATCTGAGAAGATGGCACATGTATCAAACATTTTTACACGGTATAACCATATTATTGATTTGAAACGAAAGGGAATTTAAAATAGATGTTTTATTATAAAATAATATTTGATAGCCATCTTGGTGAATTCAATAGCTACAAACCTCTCTGATTTCTGTGCGCTTTGAATCTTAAAATACAAAAAATAGTTTGAGAAATTTTGTATTATTATTTGATTAATTTATAGCCAAAATAATTTGAATACACAAAGGAAATCAAAAAGTTAATATTATTCATATCATCGCTTAAAAATTCGAAAAGAAATTTATTGGGAAGAAATATGCCAATAACAATGTCAGCATTCTCATTTTAGAAATGTTATCTGCTAAAATTACTTACACCAGCATAATCACTGTCCAATTGAAAAGAATCAGTTATGTATTGAGGATAACCGACTTTTTCTGCCATTGTTTCAACCTGCAATATGAAAATATAAACATTTTAAACAATATTACTTAATAAATATTTAAGTACTGTATATAAAAATCTACTGTAATAAAAAGTGGAACATTACATTCCTATTTTTTACCTGTATTTTCGTAGTTAACTGTATTTCAAGGATTTATTTGGCAAAAATATTATAATACAATTACATAAATTACAGCAAAAATTCACAAAATTCCAATATACAAGCTTTTTAAAATTATTAGTCATTAGGTGAACACTGTTTAACATAATTATAATTACTGTATTTTGAATATTTTGAAAAGAAATTAAATTATAATTTTTAAGAATTTACTGTTTTTGTAATAAAGAGAAATCCAAATATAGTCTACATATTAAATTTACTAAACTGAATCTATTTTTTTCAATTTTTGTTATTAATATCAATATAAAATGTGAACGTTTTAGTTCCATTGTAAGTTAATGTATGCTACAAGTAGTAGGAATTTGTGCAGAAGAACAATAAAAACAAAATAATTAAGAATAACATTTAAAAATTAATTATTAAGAATGATTTATTAATGCGGTTTGAATGTAGGAATCGGAAATGTGACAATAAAGTAGGTTTTTGATACGTAATTTACAAAATTTTTTGAAGTTATTGCCAAAATTAGTTTTGAAAATTATATTCTGAAATCGTTTCCTATCTATATTTGACAGCGTACAATTTTATTCTAATATTATTTTGTAAATTTAAATAATAAATTATGATTTCACGACAACTTTTATGACTTTCCGAAGTATTTCATAATTATTTTTGGAGTCAGACAACGCACTTTAGCATCCGAAGAATGTTGTCTAGTCATTTTTATTGCAATTGAATTCTATTGATTATTTTGGAAAATTATAGCTTTAATGCATACAGAATCAAAAAAGTACAATTATTAAAATAACCACCATAAAAACTGGCCAAAAACTGTTGAATGTACAGTATTATTTGCCTCGTAAAACTGTGTAGAATTTGATTAGAGTATAATATAAAATTAATTTTCTGTTTTTCTGTTATAAATTAGGTTAAATTAGATTAGAGTTACAATTTTATTAGTTTCGATAATAATTTAAGAAGTTGCAAGATTGTCGAATAAAACTTTAATTGCTTTCTCGTTTTCTAGGTTAATCCGGAGTGACTTCGATTAATATTTTATCAGAAAGCTATTAATTAACAAATGATATTTGTTATCTTAGTGATATCAACACAATTGAAAATATTTGTTACGAAGACAAAAATTCTATAACTAATAAAAAAAAAAAGATCTGATATTAACAAAAGACTACAGCATTATATATTCATTATTGAAGGCCGGATGTCCGAGGCGTCAGATTACCACTCAGGGAGATCTGGGATCGAAACCAGGCAAATAACTTGGGAATTTTTCTTAAGCCCTGTCGTTCACCATCCGGCTGCCCCTATTGCGGGGTGGCCGAACACACTATGGCAATGAATCTGGCAAGAAAAGCCCTCTTAATGCCCACAGTGCGGAATATCTTGATCTCGATGAGCGTTTTTCATTTTTCAAAAAAAAAAAAAACTTTCAGTGAATCGCTTTTATATAGGATTGTTATATTATTACACCTTTGAAGCGCATAATCCTAAGAATGAACATAATATTAATAATATATAACTACTTCTATCATTATATATGTATGTTTGTGTGCCTTTTCAATACATCATGGAATATGGATATAAAACATTTCTAATAAATGAATCAAGGACGAAATGTAACATCTTAACTGAGCAGTAAAAAGATGAGAATTTGCGCGTAATGTTATAAAGATAAAAAAAAAGTGCGGGTATTGTATGTATATTTTATCAGTATGAAATGAAATAAACACGTGTACACGCGTGTAATTCAAATTATCCAATTTAATCGCACGAAAAAAAAAAGTTTATTAACGATTCGGCATTCGTACAAAGGAATATTCAATGAAGTATTTGCTGCATAGAGGATGCCGTTTATTAATATTCTGATGTAATTCGTGGTTGTTTGAATTGGAACTAATTAGGGTTTATGTTCCGATAATTACTTCGGATCGTTTCACAATAATCTAAACTAGGCCTGTATAACTAACTCCAAATTTATTATTAGACAATTTTAACAAAATATAATAATTATATTTTGTTAATTATTAATAATATATTCTATTCTTAAAATTTTAAATAAAATAGCCTTCTATATTGTATTAATTTAAAAAGCAATGTAAATTTATGAACTGTTTTAATGAAAATATTTATTTATTTATTCAATTTAATTAATTTAACCCATCGAAACAGATTATAAAATTCACTTTAAACTTATTTGACTTTAAAATAGAATAATTTAAATATTTGCAGACTAGTTTTTCTGTAAGATTTAAAAAAAAAAGAAGAAGAATTTCAGACTATAATTCAATACGAATTCTATAACTAACAATTAAATAAAAAATAATTATAATTTAAAATATTTGATAATTACACATTCCATTTTTAAAAATAATTATTTTGACAATCCATTTTTTCAAGAAATTATTTTACAAGTGTCAAATTAAGTTAAATCATGAATCGCTTCCGGGAAAAGATTTAGTTAAACAAATTACTTTTTTTACCATTTATTTACTTAATATTTATTCATTTTTTTTAAATTTTAAGTATTTAATTTAAAAAAAATGAATGAATATTAAAAAATTATTTATTCACGTTACTTTCTAAAGCAAATAAATAATTTAAATTAAATTAATTTTTTCTTAAATTCTCAAAATAACTTTGGTTTTATAATGCATAATAATTGGTTTTGTAATATTTAAAAAATTTAATTAAATGTTAAAAATTATTTTATCCAATTAATTACATACAAAAATTTACTGTTTAAAAATTAATTTTTGAAAGAAACTACAAGCATTTTTTTTCACTAATTAATACGTTAAAAAAAATAATAATAAAGTTTAATCGTTTGTAAAAAGTTTATTAGAAATATTTTTTAATGTTAATAAAAATTGTATTATGACAAATCAGTAAATAGTGATAAAATGTAAATTAATCAATACAATATTTTGAAACTATTATTATTATTTCCTGTTTTTAAATTATATTTAAATAAATAAAAATAATAATTACATACGAATACATATTTATATTTTTAATCATTTTAATTATATAAATAAATAAAAAATCGTATTTCGTGAATTGTTTATTTTACGAATTTCTAATTACAGTTGTCCCTCGATAGTCCGACGTTTTTTAATCCGACATGCTCAGTAGTCCGACGCACCTCCCGTCAAGGTACCCGTCTCCGTTACGTGTCTGCTTGCACAGAAGCATGTCGCGATGTGAATCTCCCCATCCAATTCTTACTCGATGACACACATTTCGTGTGTTTTATGTGAGCAGTTCTGTTCGAACAGTTGGAGTAGAGAATATTGTAAGTTACTGCTAGCAAAACAATGCGAAATATGTAATTATTTTCGGTAATCCGGACACT